AAGCTGTTTTCAAATATTTAGCAGCATGAAGAGGTGGGGACTTATTCTGCAAGTATTTCATTACAGCAGGAAGAATAAAATGCTGCTCCAATGAGTTGACTACAATGGGAACAAATACTTAGACATATTTGGAAAGTTTTAAAAAACTATTTTCCATAACAAGCCTATTTTTTTAAAACAATTTTTATTTATTTTTGAACAAAGACAAACAAACATAAAAATAAAAAANTTGAGCCTGGTGAGATTCGATCTGCCAAACTGCTGGCAGCCAGTAGTCAGCAGTCTACTAGCCTGCAGTACTGCACCCTAACCACTGCACCACCACGACTCACTAAAACAGCAGGAATAGCCAAACCCCCAGAAAATGGGCTCAAGATCCAAAAGGATCTGAACAAACTTGAACACTGGGTCCTATCTAGCAAAATGAAATTCAGCCTAGAGAAAGGTAAGGTTTTACGTCTAGGCAAGAAAAATCAAAAGCATAGGTACAGATTAGGTGAAACCTGGCTATAGTAGCAGTAACTGTGAGAGGGATCTTGAGGTCCTAGTGGAAAATTATTTAAATATGAGCGGGCAGTGTGGAGCAGCAGCCAAAAAAGCCAACACAATCCAATGTTGCATTAACAAAGGGATAGACTCAAGATCACATGAAATCTTAGTACCGCTTTATAAAGCCTTAGTAAGGCCACACTTAGAATACTGCATCCAGTTTTGGTCACCATATTATAAAAAAAAAGATGTAGAGACTCTGAAAAGAGTGCAGACTTCAGTTAAGATGATTAGGGGGCTGCAGGCTAAAACATATGAAGAACAGTTGCAGGAATCAGACAGCTGGAATGGTAGAGGGTTTCTTGTTTGTGCAGTGGATTGGACTAGAAGACCTCCAAGGTCCCTTCCAACTCTGTTATTCTGTTAAATATTTTGAATGAGTTCCTCCTAACTGTCTTTAGATCCAGAATAGATACTGCTTCTGTGCAGACACCTTTTCTGCTTTTCTAAATAGAATAGAGTAGAGTAGAATTACAATTACAGAATCAATAGAATAGAATAGAATAGGAATAGAATAGGAATAGAGTAGAATTATAGAATAAATAGAATAGAATAAAGACATTTAACAGAATAGAGTAGACTAGAGTAGAATAGAATAGGTAAAGTTAAAGGTTCCCCTTTCACATACGTGCTAGTTGTTCCTGACTCTAGGGGGCATTGCTCATCTCTGTTTTAAAGTCGAACAGCCAGCGCTGTCCAAAGATGTCTCTGTGGTCATGTGGCCGGCATGACTAAACACCGAAGGCACAAGGAACACTGTTACCTTCCCACCAAACGTTTTTTCTACTTGCATTTTTTAAATGCTTTCGAACTGCTATATTGGCAGAAGCTGGGACAAGTAACAGGAGCTCACTCTGTTATGCAGCACTAGGGATTCAAACTGCCAAACTGCTGACCTTTCTGATCGACAAGCTCAGTGTCTCAGCCACTAAGTCACTGCGTCCCCAGAATAGAATAGAAGACATTTAACCCACCTCCCCA